CTTATCAGGACTTGTAACAAAAAGCTACAATGACCTTCAATTTCATACAGAGATACATCGACGATGTCTTCAAAAATATATATATATATATATATATATATTGACCACGTCTATCGCATATACCCTCCTACGCCTGAAATTGAAGATTCTTCAGCCGCTTTCCTCAATCTTAACTTACAACATTACCAACAATGGCGGCTCATCGTACCACTAAGATGAACGATAAGCGGGACGATTTTGATTTTCTTATCTTTAACCTTCCCTTTCTTGATAATAACCTGCCTGCGTCCCCAATCTACAGTGTTGGCATATTGCTGTTGATTCAGTATTCAATAGCTCGGAAAATAAATGAAAGAAATAGGAACACTCTCATTGTCACCTCTTAATCGAATCAAATTGGTGTAACAGTCTTGATGACGGTCAGTTTCTGTAGGGGGAGATAAATGGCATTCTCAGTAGTGGTGAGAAGGCGGTACAGAGCTGGTTCTCATATATACAAATATAATACCTAGACATATTATGTTTACATGGATGTATATTGTATTGTACTGTATATATGTTGTAAGTGATAAGTCGGACGACTTAAAGTAGTAATAAACTTGTAAACATATATAACATAGACTACATAGTACTTCATGTAGTCATCTATTAGTAGTCTAAACAAACAATCATATGTCTAATTGAGTATGTCCGTTTTTCTCACTCTATCTCTTCCTTCCCTTATCGTTTTTAAGATTGAGAGACAGGTATCTCTGTGGTACCTTGTGTCCATAGATCCGACTTTATATGACATTGGCTGTTGCGTGGACGTTAAACCCCAAACAAACAAAATATCTCAAGAAAATCTTTAAAACATTTGTTTCCTTCGTCGCTCCTGTTATAGAAACAAAACCCGATCTTGTTTACCCTGGACTTTTGTCATTGTGTTGGTTATACCATTCTGGTTCCCCTTAAATCTAGCAGTTGAATGGTATGTAATTTTCCCTAAGCTGTAGTGTACAGATCAGCTTTCTCTGTAGTAAAAGTAGAGTAGATCTACCGTCGGGTATGGAACCATAAACATATTACTGCTATGGTTACTCTGTGTTCATTTCATTGACAACGTTGATTATTCCAATTCAATCTGAGATAATTTGATAGAATATCTGTCTCTTCGTAAATGTGTTATTATGTCTTTTACTATGAACGAACGAATGAAGGAAGAATCAAACAGGCTTATCAAAGGTCTATTTCTGATGGTAGAAGTTTATATCACGATTTTCACTTTATATATGCTACAGAACGGAGAGAGGTAAACTACATGTCAACATACTAAAGCATGGGTGAAGTGCGGTCAACTGAAGTCATCAATGTAATGGCAGACTTGACCAATCCATTGGAACCACTATGGAAATAGGATGGTCAGATCTATTGTCGCCGAGAACAAACTGAATTTCCGTTATAATCTATATAAAATCATATTACAGTACATCATTAACTAAATTGACGAAGGGGACTTGCAGAGATGTCTAATGAATCGATATGATTACAGCATCTGTACAGTACATACTGTTAACGAATTCATTAGGAGAAAATCAAATATAGTATGTTACAATATACACTGACCTACATGTATGTCCACTTAATGAGATGCTACAATGTCTAATAAATAGATAATTTGTATAAAAGTACATGTTGTGAACTGCATGGCTGTCTTCTCTTAATTAACAATCTCCTTGGGGAAACGACAGGACAATAAGAAAAATAAAGAGTTATTTGACAAATGAAGACGTTTCATTTTGCTCTTACTGTTTTACTGTATTATGTCTTTCATGTGCATCTCCATGCACTTTATAAATCGCAGATATAATACAGTGAAAACCTTCGTGCAAATGTAACGCATTCTTTTGTCAATTAGTTTTTTGTTATACTTACTTGCAATTCGTCAAGTTTGACATATATAAGATATATATTTGTTTTGTTCACAAACGGAGTGTTTAAAAACTAATTTGCATGAAACGTTCGTGATCAAATACACACACCCTTTTCGGGGTCTGAGAAGAGGAAGCAAAGTCGGAAAAAATGGCCAAAATTTATTTTCAATACATTGTTTATTAAAAATATTGTACTTATGGTATATGTCTGCTCACCAATGTATTGTAAAACATAAGGAAATAACCAGTCTGAATCTGGCCTTTATTCGTCAGATCACCTCTAAATTGTTCTGGATTTTTTTTTATAAGGACGTACAAATGAAAGGGGTCATTGGGCAATTCATTAACAATTTAGTATCGTTAAATTCATCATGAATAATACTAATATAGTCTATATTTTCTACCGGATACCATATAATTAAGCACTGAACATTACTGAGTTGATATGGCATTTATAGTATGAATGACACGGCTTTATATACTTAGCGGGTCAATGTAACTAATTCGTGCCAGCTCGATAGGCTATCATACCAGCAAGCTTACAGGCCAAATACCATTTTACTAAACCTTAAAAAGTTTGATAGAATTCGCTCGAACCTTTTTAGTTCACTTAAATCCTATGTCCCAAAAAGGGGTCAAGGTAATTCATTTGAGCAACCATCAGTAAATTTGAAAGTCACTCAAACCATATAAAATATCATGAATAAACACCATACAAACTTTTTTTAAACTTTTTAATACCTTTGATTCATGTACTAAAAAGCTGGTCACTATAGATACTTTATTTGATATTTGAACAATACTTTATTTGAACAAATGATAGCACTCCACCCAGAGACTAGTCCGAATTATTCTGACGTTTTATCAACTTTTTTCATATCGGTCTGTCGTCGATAATCAACGACAGACCGATAGGAAAAAAGTTGATAAAACGTCAGAATAATTCGGACTACCCAGAGACCAGAGACGTACAGTAGTATAATTATATAGAACATGTAATGGGATTTTATTGAAGTAGAAGCCTCAAAATAACGTAATTATTTCAGCTAGCAACGTTTCTAAAAGAACTGGAATGAATACAAAAAAAGCTAGAAACCAAGCTTTGAAACAAATTAGAGCATCAAAATACAATTATGAAAGGAACATGGCCATGGACACCAAATCAAATAGTAAGACATTCTGGAAATACATTAGGTCAAAGACCAAGACTAAAAGTACAATAGGAAATAGCAAAGACGCCAATGGTGACTTGACATCTAACAATAGAGACAAAGTTGAGATCATGAACAACTACTTCACAAGTGTTTTCACTGTCGAAACAAATGAACCACTGCCAGTGTTCAATAGAAGAAACTATCTAGCCGGAACCAATCAACGATATTGACATCACGGAAAACAAGATACTATCGGCAATAAGGCTACTAAATCCTACCAAGTCAGGAGGTCCCGACCTATTCCATCCAAAACTACTATTAGAGTCGGCTAACGAGCGTGTCACACCAATTTATCATCTTCTTAAAAAATCTTTAAATGATGGTAAACTACCCCAGGATTGGAAAAATGCCATTGTGGCCCCCATACATAAATCTGGATCAAAAACCAGCCCAGAAAACTACAGACCAATCAGTTTAACATCAGTTCTTGGAAAATTAATGCAAAGAATTATCAAGGATGCCATTGTGCGTCATATGGACACCAACAATCTTTTCTCCAAGTGTCAACATGGATTCACCAAGGGAAAATCTTGTGTTACCCAGCTGCTAGAGGTTCCATTGAAGATTGATCAGAACAAATAAACAATCGACAACAGATGGATGTTATATACCTTGACTTTAACAAGGCATTTGACACTGTCCCTAACAAACGGTACTGCTGTTTAAATTAGAACATTATGGGATCCAGGGGAAGCTACTCCAATGTTCTAAGCGGGATGAAGCAAAAGGTGGTGATCAATGGTGAAATATCCAATACCAGGAATGTAACCAGTGGTGTCCCACAAGGGAGTGTCCTAGGACCACTTTCGTTCTTGATATTTGTCAACGATATGCCGGAAGTCGTACAATCCATAATTAAATTATTTGCTGATGATACAAAGTTATACTCCGGAATTTCGGATGACGATGATAGGAATACTCTTCAGGACGATATCCACAGATTATGTGACCGGACAAAAGTTTGGAACATGAAACTAAATGGAAAAAAATGTAAACACACGTCAGTAGGTAATCAAACCAGGGACTCGGCTTACACAACAAAAAATGGACAAATTGAAGTAACCATTGATAAAGTGATCAAAGAAAAGGTTTGGGAGTAGTATTTGACCATCAACTAAATTTTACTGACCATGTCAACGAGTGTGTTTCCAAAGCCAACAGAATCCTCGGACTAATATTTCGGACATTCACATTTATAAACAAAGACATTTTTATCCAACTGTTTAAAAGTGTAATGCGGCCACACTTGGAATGTTTAAAAAATATCAAATTGCCATTGAAAATGTCCAACGCAGGACATTCTAAAAAAAGACAATCCTACAGCAAAAGACTTTGTACGCTGGGCCTCCCCAGTTTAGAATATAGAAGATTGAGAGGAGATGTCATACAAATCTTTAAAATCATGTATGACATTGACATTTTGGACAAGGACAAAATTATTAAAATAGCAACATTGGTTCCAACAAGAGGATATTCCAAAAAAGCTTTTCAAGAGAAAGATGAGGCTCAACGTAACCCAGAACCTGTACAGTAGTATGGTCGTGGACGTGTGGAACTATCTCCCAAACATAGTTGTAGAGGTCCCCTCCCTGAATAGTTTTAAATCTCGGCTAAACAATCACTGGCGTCATCATCACCAAATTTGTACCAACATGTTACTCACAACCGGACATGATTAACAATAGCAAGATACATCCCAAGAAGCTGGATCAGCTTACATTGACGTCGACACTACATGCAAAACTACATGAAAATAATTCCTTTTTTTTTTAAAGAAAATTAAATAAAGGAACTAGTGACAAGAGAGACAACTCGTGTAAACGTACACTTTTCCCTAACCGAATGCGCCTTATCATAGTGTTTTCGATACCTCTCTGATTTGACCGTAAGGTCAGTACGTTGTCCAGAAGCACAGAAACAGAATTTTCTATTTCTTTTCGCTGTTATATTGGTAATGTATGATGACAGCGAGACAAGAATCAGTGCATTTTTGTTTTTACCATTTTTTCTGTCCATGATTGTCTTGTTAAACCACCATTTCATTTGTAAATTAGAGCATGCACTAAAATCTGAGTCTGGAACTCCATAATCCACTGGCACTGTTATTGGGCCTAATCCTAGTCAGGCTAGTGTTAACAGATCACTGTCTAGGAGAAGGCGATATGTAGACAAATTTAAGTTGTCACAGTTAACTTGCCATTAACATTATTACTGACAGTAATAATGTTAATGGCAAGTGCTGAACAATTACCTTAACCGTTTTAGTGAAAACTGTTTGAGTTCGTTGTTCCTTCTACTACACATTGACCTGTTGACTTGGAATGTCCATTGATGTCCATGCTAAGAGTTTTATTTTCTATTCTAGTGTTCTATGTGTAGTGGGACTGTGCTCCTTTAGTGCCAGTGACCAGGTAGCGCAGTTATTTCGAGCGTCTTCTTGGCATAGCTAGGTTTTCCTGAAATTGGTTTGTAAAAGTATTGTCTTCAATCAGGGCGAAAAAAAAACCTGGATTTACTGTGAACGACAGATGTGTAGAATAACATATCGAAAAATGCGATACAACAGCCATTACTGTTTAAAAAATGAACTATTATAAACACTGAAAATAATTATTCTTATATAATTTCAAAGCAGATATACAAACTGTACAGTAGTAGTGTTGTATACCCAAACTGTACAGTAGTGTTGTGTACACGATCTGTAAAGTAGTGTTGTACAGTGTTGTGCCAGACCAGGATTCGAACCAGGGACCCTCCAAACTCTAGATGGATGCTCTTACCAATTGAGCTACAATTGAGCGATACAACAGCCATTACTGTTTAAAAAATGAACTATTATAAACACTGAAAATAATTATTCTTATATAATTTCAAAGCAGATATACAAACTGTACAGTAGTAGTGTTGTATACCCAAACTGTACAGTAGTGTTGTGTACACGATCTGTACAGTAGTGCTGTACAGTGTTGTGCCAGACCAGGATTCGAACCAGGGACCCTCCAAACTCTAGACGGATGCTCTTACCAATTGAGCTACCTTGTCGCTGACGATCGACCCAGATCAGCTCAAATACATTCCTCCCCACTTTTTTTAAGTCTTGGCCCCCAAAGACATCACTATTTACAACCCAGGCTTGGGTACCCCCTTGCCAAGCATGATCCCCTGTGCTTGAAACAAGTGTTGGCAAGCTTTCATATTTTGTAACAGCTAGGAGAAAGAGAAATGCAACAGCTAGCTGGGATTTGAGGAAGAGACCCTCCAAACTCTCAGACATCTGCACTACCAAATAACAATTAAGCTACTTGTAATTGGTCGCCGATGATTGACCTAGTCCAGTTCTGCTATGAAAGAACAAGGGAAATAAGAGAGGTGTGTAGCGGGCCTCAGGACCGAGTGATTATATATATGCAGCTGAAAAGGTAGCTCAATTGGTTAGGCATCTGTCTAGATTTAGAAGTTCCTGGGTTTGAACCATACAGGTCCTTTGTATTTTCCCTCTCCCTGTTACACATGAATATATTGTAAACTTTTCTTGCTTTTAGTATGTGATGGACCTACCAGCTGTCTCCCCCACATAACTAGTGACCAGCATCTCAAGTGTGGACAACATCCTGACAATTGACCTTGATGACCACAACCTTACCTGCCTGAACTCTGTTTAGAGTTTGAGGGTAATGGTTTTACAGAGACTGGTCGCAAAGAGCTTTCGTAACTTGTGTTTTTTTGTGGGACTTGTGTCACGTCAGGTTGTGGCCACTATGGCTTGGCGATCCAGTGGTAACACCAACGCCAACCTTGTGGAAAACTTAAGGTGTAAGTATGTACGACAATACACTGCAACGTGTTGTTATAGACTTCACAAGGGTGTACAATTCTATCAGATTGATACCAGGGCTAGTAAATAGTATTTGGGAGCAGATGCTTGTGAACATTTTCAGTAATTATTATGTGTATTTAATGAAATTATAGGTTGGGCTAACAGAAATTTTCAAAATCTTAATGCAGGCTATTAATCTAATATGAAATTGAACACCCCTATTTCAAAATGGCATTATTGAAAACTTCATATAATGGTTAGAGAAAATATGATCCATAATACTTGTACTGATATTGACATGTAAGTAAGGTACATCATATTCAGAATGCTTACCTCTCTGTCCCCAGTGAATGGTATTTTAAAGTCTGACAGGGTGGTTCAGGCCATGCTCCAGGTAGACAGACAGAACTATGTGAAGAATCCTATGTCTGCCTATGCTGACTCTCCACAAAGTATCGGCTTCTCCGTCACCATCAGCGCTCCTCATATGGTAACTTAAAAACACAAGCCTTTGTGGCAATACAATTATTTATGTTTATTTTTGATTTAATGATTTGTTTATCTAACAGTTGTCACAGAGGCGAGACATAAGTGTCACTTCTCCAGCGGTGTCAACGTTTCATTTTTTGCATTTAGCTCTGTTTTTACCAAAGCATATGTGCTACACCATCCAAACTTGGACCATAGTTTCATCTTAGCATCCTCATTGCAATCTATGTATCAGATACTGAATAAGGCTACAATACCTGGGCCAGTAACTGTTAAATCATCCTCATCAGTTTCAAGTTTTTGCGTTTAGCTGTGCATTTAAAAACTATTTATGTGTTGTATCTCAAAAAGGTCAAGTTCTACAAAATAGCTACATCATAGACAGTAAATCTTAATGTAGAAAACATCATTTAAATTTTTCATTATTTTAAACGTATTAAATTTGTTATATTCAAAAGTTTGATATTTAACCCTTTCACAACCGTAGACTATAACGGATGCATCCCCATCAATGCATGGTAGAGTCTACTAAAGTTACATAGGGGTGAAAGGGTTAAATAAAAAAAAATCTGTATTTTATATTCCAATTTAATTTGAATTTTAAAGTTTGAAATCAGTAAACATCAGTAAAGTTAAAGTTAGGTCATCAGAATTGTGAAGTTTCTTTAATTTGCTCTTATTCTCTTACCAACCACTGTTGATGATCAAAGCAGAAGTAAAGTAAGCCAGACATATGATTCCGTGGAATTGTTGTTAGTGTAGTTATAGTAATTTTCTGATTTTGTTCTATGTGGGAGCAAGAGGTAAGGCTTAAACCTCTTAAGCTTGTTTAGTTGTTTTCAAACTCTGACTACACCAGACTTAATGTATTCTGTAGTTCAGCCTTGTTACTAGGTCCCATCTCTTTTGAACAATGATAAATATACTCTGTACAGTAGTGGCTTTGGAGGTGCCATCTTCAAAATCCAAGGGGTATGCTCTCAAAATACATAACTTTTCTACATCCTTGGAATATGTCATGACAAAATTGAAAGCTATGCTGTGGCACTATGTAGGCCATTGTCCCGCATCAACCTTTTTCTTTGAATAACTTCTTCCCATTAACCAGTAGCTTGCTTCGATGAGGGTTACCATTTTTAGCTCACCTGCATGAAGGGCAAGTGAGCTTATGTCATGGTGCGGTGTCCGTCGTCCGTCCGTCCTCATCCGTCAACTTTTCCTTTAAACAACTTCTGATGAAGAACGGACAGGCCTAGAGTCATGATATTTGGCTGAAAGCTTTGTTGGTAGGAGCCCTACAAAGTTTGAGGATGAAAATTACCTTGACCTACTTTCAAGGTCACAGGGGTCAAATGTGTCAAATACTTCAAACGACTTCTTCTGAAGAACTGAAAGATATAGATTCTTTATATTTGGCTGGTAGCTTCCTGGGATAGTGCCCAACAAAGTTTGATAATGAAAATTATTTTGACCTACTTTCAAGGTCACAGGGGTCAAATATGTCAAAAACTTCAAACAACTTCTTCTGAAGAACTAAAAGGTATAGAATCTTCATATTTGGCTGATGGCTTCCAGGGATGGAGCTCAACAAAGTTTGAGAATGAAAATTACCTTGACCTACTTTCAAGGTCACAGGGGTCAAATGTGTCAAACACTTCAAACGACTTCTTCTGAAGAACTGAAAGGTATAGAATCTTTATATTTGGCTGGTAGCTTCCTGGGATATAGCCCAACAAAGTTTTAGAATGAAAATTAGTTTGACCTACTTTCAAGGTCACAGGGGTCAAATATGTCAAATGCTTCAAACGACTTCTTCTGAAGAACTGAAAGGTATAGAATCATTATATTTGATTGATGGCTTCCTGGGATAGAGCCTGACAAACTTAGAGGATGAAAATGACATTGACCTTTTTTCAAGGTCACAGGGGTCAAATGTGTCAGACACTTCAAACGACATCTTCTGAAGAACTGAAAGGTATAGAATCTTAATATTTCGCAGGTGGCTTCCTGGGAAAGAGCCAAACAAAGTTTGTGAATGAAAATGACCTTGACTTACTTTCAAGGTCACAGCATTCAAATATGTCAAATAGTTCAAACTACTTCTGAAGAATTTAAAGGCATACAGTTATAATATATAATATAGTAGCTTTAAGGAACCAATTGGAAAAGGAAAATGACATTGACCTACTTACAAGGTCACAGGGAAAAATATGTCGGCAACTTCTGAAGAAGAATCAAAAAGCATAGAATCTTATAATAATATTTTGCTGGTAGTTATAATAGATGGAGCCAACAAAGTTTGCGAGGGAAATATTTTTAGTGCAATATAATATTTAATGAGAATTTTTTGCTATGACTGCTTAAATATTCAGGTGAGCGATACAGGCCCTCTTGGGCCTCTTGTTTTCTTCAAATTAATGACCTTGACACACCTCCAAAGTCACTGGGATCAAATATCTTAAAACATCTTAACATATTGTAGTGTTTTGTTTCAATGCAATTCCTAGTATCAAATAAACACTGGTATGCATGATTCCATAACAATTCTATTTTATTGTTTTGTTGTAATCCATACTTACCAACATGAAGAAAATGTTTAGACATGTGTTTTACTTGTTTGCAGACTATTTTGTTGGATATAAAAGTTGATTTACTTTAGATTTGCGAGACATACTGTATCAAATTTCAGCATGCCCACGCCCTAGAACTGCTGTCTGACCATCTGAAAGAGGGGTCAGTGGCATTGGATGTGGGGTCAGGGAGTGGCTACCTGACGGCTTGCATGGCCCTTATGGTTGGCAAGACCGGACTGGCCGTGGGAATCGACCACATGGATCAGCTGGTCAGTATGTCTGTGGAAAATGTGAAGAAGGATCCTGCCATTGGTCAGTTACTCGAGACTGGACAGATGAAGCTTGTTAGTGGAGACGGTCGCCAGGGTTACATTGATGCTGGTCCTTACGATGCAATCCATGTAGGAGCAGCAGCTCCCAAACTTCCACAGGCAGTAAGTGAAAACCTGTCATCAGGCTTGCCGATGAAATATTGGTGGAGGAAGTAGGATGTAACCGGCAATTTTATGTGACATAACACACAAGTCAGCCTCTACTATCCAATAATTAACCAATCTATAACATATGATATCAATCAATTGTGGTAACAACTTTCATGACAGTTAAAACATCAAACATATCTTATACATGAATGTTTCAGTTACCTGTAATAAGCTAACCTGGCCCGAAGGTGACCTTCACCCTTCACCCATGAGGCATCTAGCATTAGTCGGGCATCAACTTTTTACTTTGAATGACTTCTTCTTAATGTAAACCAAGAGGCCTTGGGTTGTGATATTTGGCTAGCAGCATGCTGGGGTGAAGGGCTACCAACTTTGTTCAAATGGATGACCTTCACCCATATTGAAGATTATATGGGTCAAATATGTTTAAAACTCTGATTAACTTCTTCTGATTAACAATAAGGACTAGGATGATGATATTTGGTCAGTTACATGCTCAGATAAAGCACTACCAAGTTTGTTAAAATGAGTGCCCTCCTCACCTGGGCCAACGTTAAAGCATTAAAGCCAAAGATGAGGTGTTGCCAAGCAAGGCGCTAGGAAACAAGAGCCATGTCATACTTACATTGTCAGTAATGTAAAATCAAATCTCTGAATACAATTACACATACTAGTGGAATACTATGATTGTTGTAATAATTACATGTGCCATAACTGATTCACTGACTGATGTCATTCCTGTAGATATTTGAAGCAAAAAAAGCATTCAAAATTGTTAAAATGTGTTTCTAATTTGTAATGTGAAAATATGTTTCTGATTTTAATGATCAGTTTTAGACATACATACATCCACCATATGATGTCAGAAAATATATATGAACAAATTGTTTTCTCTCCCTACAGCTGGTAGACCAGTTGAAGCCTGGTGGTCGCCTCATCATTCCTGTCGGAGAGCACCAGCAGCACCTACAGCAAATAGACAAGATGGCCGACGGCACAGTTCAAAAACAGAATCTGATGGGCGTGATTTATGTTCCACTGACCAGCAAGGACAAGCAGTGGCCAAGGTCCAAATAACTACACACTGACCTCACCGAGGTGCATGTCCTTCCCGAGTGGTGTGAACTACTTCTCTTGATGCTATATATATACCAAACGGTTGAAACCAGCCTTCAAGAGATTTGGTTCTCCACAACTCCTCTGTAGCACAACTAACATAGTCTCTGTATCTTAATCTGTCTCAGATATACACTCAGTACAATCTCTATATAACTATAACACTCTCCCTTTCATGACCTTTCACAAATATATACTCAATTGTACATCTCTATAACTAACATATTCTCTGTATCTTTATCTGTCTCAAATGTATACTCAGTACAATCTCTATATAACCATAACACTTACACACTCTCCCTTTCATGACCTTTCACAAATATATACTCAATTGTACATCTCTAAAACTAACATATTCTCTGTATCTTTGAAATTTCATGTCATAGATATATGTGCTCACTATAACAATTTCCCTTTCCTGACCCCTTCATAAATATATACATAAACTCAATCTTACATTTCTTTAATGAACTTGCCTCAATATTCGTACCCGTCACAAATTCCCAGTACTATATCTATACACTATCTGCTCTCTACCTTCCCCTGTTGGGATATTTTACTTTAATACTGATAACAAAGTTATCTTCCCCTGCTAGGCTAACTGTTACCAAATGATAACTTTTACCTTCCCCAACAGGGATATTGTACTTATTAGTGGCTTTCTACATTCCCCTACTCAGATATTTATGTTCCTGATTGGATATGTCACTATAATTGATAACTTTCTACCTTCCCCATGCTAGTTTGAGTATTTTAATTCCCCCCACTTTGAAATGTCCATATATAGAAATTCTCAATTCATTGAATAAAAACTTGATTTGACAGTAAAACTATTTACTAGGTATATTGTATTTGCCCACTCAAATTACAATGTATAATGTCAAAAAGACTAAGCTTTTTTTGAACACAAACAGGAATTGAAAACTTGTTTTGCGAACTTTCGAAACGTGTCTCGACTCTAAACCGCTGAAAACAACTCATTTAGACTCAGTGGGCCGAATCGGCCGGATCAAGTAAAATCAGCTGTCAAAAATCATAGAGTCATTTCGCCATGTTGCACTCTAATACTGAAGGCAGTCATGGTACGGGTAACATGTTTACCCATTCCACCCCTTATTGGATGTCAAAATAGGGTCATAAAGATGACTCAACCAATGGCCCCCTTCGTCTCTGTTCATCAAGTCCCCTTCTCTCCTAACCCAGATGGATTCTTTGATTTTCCTGACTTCCCAGTTGGGCGGACTATTTTGCCGACTGAGGCTTAGTGAGTTATTTTCAGCGGTTTAGAGTCGAGACACCGGTCATTTGCACTCTCTGCTTGACCCAGGAAACAGACGTTTTCGAAAGGTCACAAAATAAGTTTTCAATTCCTGTTTGTGTTCAAAACAAACTTAGTCTTTATTATTCATACCAAACTGATGAATCTATTCGGAATGTATAATGTCATTTTGATAAAAAATTATAAACAAATAAGAATGACAGAAAAAAAGAAAGTAACATTCTACGTGTCAGCATTTTAAAACTTGAAACCCATTCATGTATTATCAGAAATGATACTAAATATCTCATTTCATGATTTTGAACAGAAAATGCCATCCTGTTTTAATAACATTGCACTTTTTCTATTTCAGATCTACCACTGATGAACTTTGACCTGTCTGTTATCTTATATCCACATTATTTTGTTACTGGTTGAACTGTTATCCTATTGATGCAACTGTGGATTGTTTTTTATCGTTATTCTTCCGTTGACGTTCGCCCATTGGTATAACGGCAAGCTTTAAGCGTATACGTATTCCTGTGGAACCCAGGTAGTATAATGATGACCGCTCAGGGTGGTTAGACCCTAAAACTGGATTTTCAGTTTATACAGCTTTGGATAAAGCGAGATCAGACCTTTACCTGTGTGATCAGTTATTTGTACCGGTAATGTACAATTTTCGTAAGTTTGTCTTTTAGCAGAATTTGTGACAAAAGGTGTGCTACCATTTGACATCAGTTTTTATCTGGTACATTTTCATGGAATAGTGAATGTAAGAATGGTGGAAGAGAACTGCTAAGTAGTTTCTCTTTTGTTGAAATAGCAGTTATATGCAAACACAATGTTAATATGGTGACAGAGTTTAAGGAAATATGGTTTTCACATCCTTCCATTGACACATGCTGAAATAATCCAACTGTCGTGCTGCTGATATTGATGTGTCTTTCTAACTACTATATAACACAAAATTAAATCAGCCAGACTGAAGTGTTACAGATGTTCCTACATATCATGGTAACTCATTCATGAGTAGGGTAAGGGTATGGATTCATTGCCTACCATATCCTGAGAATGAAATTAGCTTTAGGATCTATATACCATCACTAATATTTGGAAAACATTTTCATTGAAAGAAAATTTTAAAGTTGGTGAAGTGAAACCAATTACATTGCTGGTAATTTGAAATTACTGAAGAAAGAAAAAAAGACAAAAAAAATCCATTTTAATTTAATTGTACCAATAAATGGAAATTGATATTACCATGGGTTATTATGGTTCACCAAAATAGGATCTTGTTTCAAGGACTGTTGGAACTTTTTCTTTTATTCAAATTATAACATAGGTCATTTTTGATTCTCTTCAGTATTGTACACTTTGTACTTGATATTAATAATTCAAAAATGTGTACAAATTTAGCAGATAAAAATTAACTATTATATAATATTTAACAGAGTTTCACAGTAATCTGTAATCTATCAGATCATTTATAGTTTAAACAAAACAATGCGATATGTATAAACAAATACATTAATCATAGGAAATTAGGAATAGAGTTCAGTATAGTAATATAATCATGTACTTGTGAGAGTTTCGTGATTTTTTATAATATACACAGTACAAGATTGTGAGGTATCTGTAAATTTGATGTTTATTCTCCGGTGATTGTATTGACAACGAGACATGATACTGGAGCAGCAAATACACATAATATGTAACTAAGTAGTAAACATAATTATGTATATTTAATGACCTGTAAACTATTAGTAACCATATGTTTTCAAATTAATCTAGTACATACAAATGTAATGGGCTATACTGAAGTTATGGTATATTTTTTCAGATTGGCAAATATTGTTGTTTGATAAAATATCACTGATAATATATAATATTGTCGAGGATGTGGGGGGAGTAGACAGTACAGAAATTATTTGTCAATTTTGCTTCTAATCATGAAAGAATTACCTGAACTTTTTCCAAAATTGTTTTTAATTGGTCATTTATATTTCGATAGCGATGATGTGTTACAGGTGTGTTGATTTATTGTTGGGACAGTCAGTCCTAACACAATCAGTCTACACGGGACAGTCAGTCCTAACATGATCAGTCTACACGGGACAGTCAGTCGTAACACGATCAGTCTACACGATCAGTCTACACAGGACAGTCAGTCGTAACACAATCAGTCTACACGGGACAGTCAGTCCTAACATGATCAGTCTACACGGGACAGTCAGTCCTAACACGATCGGTCTACACGATCAGTCTACACGGGACAGTCAGCCCTAACACGATCAGTCTACACGGGACAGTCAGTCGTAACACGATCAGGCTACACGGGACAGTCAGTCGTAACACGATCAGTTTACACGGGACAGTCAGTCGTAACACGATCAGTTTACACGGGACAGACAGTCGTAACACGATCAGTCTACACGGGACGGTCAGTCGTAAAACACGATCAGTCTACACGGGACGGTCAGTCGTAACACGAGCAGTCTACACGGGACAGGCAGTCATAACACGATCAGTCTACACGGGACGGCCAGTCGTAACATGATCAGTCTACACGGGACAGTCAGTAGTCCTAACATGATCAGTCTACACGGGACAGTCAGTCGTAACACGATCAGTTTACACGGGACAGACAGTCGTAACACGATCAGTCTACACGGGACAGACAGTTGTAACATGATCAGTCTACACGGGACAGTCAGTCCTAATATGATCAGTCTACACGGGACAGTCAGTCCTAATATGATCAGTCTACACGGGACAGTCAGTCCTAATATGATCAGTCTACACGGGACAGTCAGTCCTAACATGATCAGTCTACGCGGGACAGTCAGTCCTAACACGATCGGTCTACACGATCAGCCTACACGGGACAGTCAGCCCTAACACGATCAGTTTACACGGGACAGTCAGTCGTAACACGATCAGTTTACACGGGACAGACAGTCGTAACACGATCAGTCTACACGGGACGGTCATTCGTAACACGATCAGTCGACACGGGACAGTCAGTCGTAACACGATCAGTTTACACGGGACAGTCAGTCATAACACGATCAGTCTACTCGGGACGGTCAGTCGTAACATGATCAGTCTACACGGGACAGTCAGTCCTAACATGATCAGTCTACGCGGGACAGTCAGTCCTAACACGATCGGTCTACACGATCCGACTACACGGGACAGTCAGCCCTAACACGATCAGTTTACACGGGACAGTCAGTCGTAACACGATCAGTTTACACGGGACAGTCAGTCGTAACACGATCAGGCTACACGGGACGGTCATTCGTAACACGATCAGTCGACACGGGACAGTCAGTCGTAACACGATCAGTTTACACGGGACAGACAGTCGTAACACGATCAGTCTACACGGGACGGTCATTCGTAACACGATCAGTCGACACGGGACAGTCAGTCGTAACACGATCAGTTTACACGGGGATCAGTCTACACGGGACAGTCAGCCCTAACACAATCAGTCTACACGGGACAGTCAGTCCTAACACGATCGGTCTACACGATCAGTCTACACGGGACAGTCAGCCCTAACACAATCAGTCTACACGGGACAGTCAGTCGTAACACGACCAGTCTACACGGGACGGTCAGTCGTAACACGATCAGTCTACACGCGACAATCAGTCATAACACGATCAGTCTACACGGGACGGTCAGTCGTAACATGATCAGTCTACACGGGACAGTCAGTCCTTACACGATCAGTCTACAATACTGTTGGAAAGCTTCACTGTAACCTGTGGGTAGAACCAGGCAGCTTTCCATGGTTGTGATAGATTATTCTCTCATTTATTTCTCACATGTAATGGCTTGTTTAAGTGCATATTGCTTGAATTTAATAAATTATGTTGATGATATTGAAAGTGGAACTTCTCTTTTGTTTAGCTCACACAATGTTCACATATGTCAACTGCCTTCTCCTCCTTTGCTTAAAATTATTTATTTTTTATGAAATAAAAATTAACAAAATATCAGATGCCTCCTGTGCATGTGTCGACTATTTTATTTGTGGGCAATACAGAACTATAGTGTCTAAAGCCAGACAAACAATATTTTATAACAAGCGACAGACAAATTATTTGATGACTCTGAGGGGGAAGTTGAGAAAGGCAAGAAATCTTAACTCTCTGGGAAAGATTTTGAACTTGTGAAATCCTCAAGTTTGACGATACCAATCTTGTCCCAAATAGACTGAACAAATTTATTAATCTCCGTTGCAACTAACAGATATGATACGGTGCAATCATCAGTCATCTATTTTTTGTGATCCATCTTCTCAAATTTTTCAAATTATCTTACCTGAATTACCAGACTGACTTCTATGAAATTTTGTACACATGAACATTTCATCATGTTCTTGTCCTCTTTTAAATGATTTGTTTCTGCCGTTTTTGGCCAACTTTTCATTTATGTTTCGTCATATTTTGACAACTTGGAATTTGTTTTGGTCTAGTTTGTTGGTACTGTAGACAATTGTTTCATTATTACAGCTACTTCTTAAAAGATTTCATGAAAAAAGAAAGGGTGTTGCCTTCAACACAGTTGCAGCATTTATCAAAGCAATTAAATCCTGAAGGAACTCCTCATTGGGAGACATTTAAAATGCCTTGTTATTCATCAGAACTTGTATACAGGTTTTTACATATTTGACCCCTATGACCTTGAAAGTCGGTCAATGTCATTTATTTGGGGAAACTATACAGCACTCCATCCCATGAAGGTACCTACTAACCAAATATCATGGCCCTAGGTTCTCCAGTTCTTAAGGAGTCATTCAAGGAATAAGTTTAGAGATGACCGTCGGACGATGGAGAAAGGACAACACACCATACCATAAACTCAACTGGCACTTTGTGCCAAGTGAGCTAAAAATCATTTAAATGTATAGTTAGAACACAATGGCTATTGGTACCTGGTCACATTGTATTTTAGATTATATCCAGACCTGGTATGGTAATTAAAATCAAGACGCACACAATCAAGTCAGAGTGATTAAATGATAGAAACAGAAAACAATAGTATACAGCACTTTATATTTAATAATCTATATTTAAGGATTTAGTACACTTCACAATTTCATCTACACCAATAAATCATTTTCAAACTATTTACAATGTACATTACTGGTGTGATTTTTTTGCAAAATATATCGAGGGTTATTTCCCCTATGGTTTATTATCTAACGGTTTGTTTGTTTGTTTGTTTGATTTTGTTTAACGTCCTATTAACAGCTAAGGTCATTTAAGGACGGCCTCCCCTGGGTGCAAGATGCATGCATGTAGTGTATGTGTGTGTATATTGGGAGGCTGCGATATGTTCGTGTTTGTCTCCTTGTGATAGCGCGAAACTGATGCCGACTTTATAGTGCTACCTCACTGAAACATTCTGCCGAAGACACCCAGCAGGACGCCCCACCCGGTCACATTATACTGACAACGGGCGAACCAGTCGTCCCACTCCTAATTTGCTGAGCGTTAAGCAGGAGTATAAACTACCATTTTTAAAGACTTTGGTATGTCTCGGCCAGGGGACAGAACCCAAAGCCTTCCTCACAGGGGCGAACGCTCAACAAATGGCCAAAAGACACATGTAATATATAAAGTTAGGGTACATATAATTAATATGCAATATTGCAGTCAATACACAGAAGAGCACTTTGTAAGAAATAAGACACAAATTAGTCTGAAGGAGAAAAACATGTGCACGAAACAAACAAGAGAAGAAAAAACAGAGAAATATAAACAGTACAAGAGCTAATAAATACAATGATGAAAAACATCTGTATTCAATTATATATTCTTAAAAGATCCTTTGAAATAAATTTAATCAAATTTACAATTAAAAGTTATATTCTCTTGTTAAAATGGAACACATGTACATTACATGAACTTTTGGTACTGTCTGCCAATAAAAATCATTACAAATCTAGACCAGCTAAAAATCATTTTATGTGTAAAAAGATCTTGTAAAATATAAGAAAAATCTATTATTTTTTTCATTCAATTACTTGCATAAAAAGTTTCATCGCTATAAATACTTTTCATTTAAAATGTAGAGAAGAAAACCATGTTTACAATATAAACATGTACTAAGTTACAACCAAGTACTGGTAACTAACAGATCTCGAGATCACTCCACAGTGATTTTATTATATCAAAACATCAAACAACCAACTAAGGTCTTTATTCATCAAAATAGCATCTGTCCTTAAATCCTGTCTTTTGAACTCGATCACTGATACACTAATACAGGTAACTAACAGAGGTCACTCCAGAATGATTCTACTACGTCAAAACAACATCAAACAACCAGCTAAGGTCCTTATTTAAAATAGCACCTCTCCTTAAATTAGATGTATTTTTCAAATTCTGGTTTGGCTGCCTGTACATTTAATGAACTCAATAGCTAAATGATGCCGTACAATAACAAGATGTACAGCTAATAGCTGCCTTAGTATATTGAGGACAGATGAAGGATGTACAGTTCAAATGATTGTGTCTCTGTGTGACATTTGATATATTATTGTGGATGATGTCCTTGTGTCTTCAACAGATCTTATTGTATCAACTACTAAAGTATCATCAAAGCAGAAACCGGTACATGTTATACATCATGCAGAGTAAGACAGAATGGTTCACACTTGCAATTGTGAAATCCTCATGCAGAGCAAGACTGAACAATTCACATATACAATTGTGAATTCTTCATGCAGAGAAAACTGATAGAGTCAAGCAGGTAGTAAAGAGATGAATTTGCAATTTAAATAATTTTCAATTCTTTTTTCATATGTTATATGCTCTTTACAGAGCAAACATATTTCTAAAAGAAGAAGAACAGGAGGGTGAAATACACAGTGGGAAATCTTTTTTTAAAAGGACATAAATGTTTCAAATGACAGTACCCATTATTGTAGTAAAAAAGCAAACTTATACATAGATCTCAGAAGACATAAACAAAACATAAACAAAAGTCCTGAAGAGACACTAACAATTCTTTGTTTTTAAAAGTTTTGTAAATTAATATCGGGAGTTTTGAAAACAAGTTTATATTAAACTACACTGTACCATATGTCAATACCACGTACTGGCTTGTTCAGTGTAAACATGTTGATTAACATTATACATTCAATAATAACACATCAAGTATTCTAACAATATAGCACTACATGATTTGTGGTCACAGACAATGGAGGCCACCAATAATATCAGAAATATACTGTGTAATCAGACATTTTTGTGGGGCACACATTTTGTGGTTTTCCAACAATACACAATTTCGTGGGTACATGAATTTGTGGATTACGAGTACCTTCTCAAACTGAAAATTGCTTTATATCTAATGTGTAATCACCTACAAAATCGATGAAAATACCCCCCCCCCCCCAGAAAAATTAATGATTTCACAGTATTCAAACTAAATAGTAGGCAATTATCATATCAAGTCAAAAATAATTTTAACATCATGTTTTCAATACAAATTTACAAACAAACAAACATGTAAACAAGATAAGCACTATTAAAGTTATACTTGTACCTAAACGCATGAGTTGTCCTCTCCTTTTACAGATCAGAACTGCTGCCATAAGATGAGTACAAGTTATAAATAAGACAATAAAGACATTCGTTGTTTGTTTAAGATCTAGACCACTTCAGAATAGAATATAATATTTCACTTTTACCACAAGTAATTGTCACTTTCAAAACTTAAATTTGTCTCCATTATATCCAAAACAACAAAAAACTTGAATATTCAAATTAAGATTAATCAATCCAAAAGAGTTTTAGTTGCAAATCCCTTGACTGAAAAAGTAATTTCACTTCTTAAACACAAAAAAGCATTTTAAATATAAATAGAATGTCATTATTTTCAATATTAGCTGTCATACTTTAAGATGTATATACATTTCAGAAAGTTGTACACCAAATTGTATAGATGAAAATTGCATCATGAAACAATATTTAATGAGAATCACAGACATACTGGCTATCATTCTTATCACATTTATAACCAATGAATTGATGAGCACACTTCCTCGTGTAAAACTTTCTCACGCTCCCTCTCAAATAAGTCCTTCTAAAACAACTCCCTCTCAAACAACTCCCAACAATACAAGACGAGTAGTTTACCGACACTCGTACCCAGTCACTTGATACACAGTACAGTAAAATCAACCCAGACCCTAAAGGAACAACAACCATACCAATCTCTCACACCAGAAGTAGATCACGCTCGCACTAATCCAGCCATTTGTTGCATCTGTAATAAAAGCTGTTTCTTCTCCTTCTCAAAAAGTGCTGTCATTTTTGCCAGCTCCTTTTCTAACATTTCAGCTCTGAACCTCTCTGCTTCAGCTTTCACCCTCTCTGCTTCAGCTTTCTCCCACTCTGCCTCCTTCTCCTTCTTTAGCACTTCTTCCCTGTTGAGGACTTGTATGATTTCATCAATAGCCTCATTCCTGACTTCAATGGCATCGTTGAAATCCCTCATGGCCTGAAGTTTCTCCTTCTCCACCCTTTTCTTCTCCTTCTGAAGCTTTGTCTCCCTGTTCAAAGCCTCCTGTTTCTCCTCCTCTGCCCTCCTCTTCTCCTCCTCTGCCCTCCTCTTCTCCTCCTCTGCCCTCCTCTTCTCCTTCTGAAGCTTTGTCTCTCTGTTCAATGCCTCCTGTTTCTCCTCCTCTGCCCTCCTCTTCTCCTCCTCTGCCCTCCTCTTCTCCT